AGGAGAATTGCCTGAACCCAGGAGGCGGAGGTTGCAGTGAGCCGAGATCGCGCCATTGCACTCCAGCCTGGGTAACAAGAGCGAAACTCTGTCCCAAAAAAAATATATATATATATGTATATATATAGAACAGAAAAACAAAAGAAGGAAAAACAAAAGAAGTGTATTGTACATGGTAAGGCTAAACATTGTTTCCCAAAACTTGTTTCTATAAACAAGCAGATGTTTGCACCTATTTGTGTGCTCAGGACCTTACAATATTTCTTACTCTGTGTCATGGTCAAAATGTGTTTTAAGGACCAGGCCCAGTGGCTAATGCCTGTAATCCCCACACTTTGGGAGGCTGAGGCAGGCAGGTCATTTGAGGTCAGGAATTCGAGGTGAAACCTGGCCAACATGGTAAAACCCATCTCTACTAAAAATACGAAAATTAGCCAGGCATGGTAGCAGGTGCCTGTAATTCCAGCTACTTGGGGGAGGCTGAGGTGAGAGATCGCCTGAACCCAGAAGGTCGAGGTTGCAGTGAGCCAGAGATTGCAGTGAGTCGAGATTGTGCCACTGCACTCTAGCCTGGGAGAAGAGCAAGACTCCGTCTCAAAAAAAAAAAAAAAAAAAAAATGTTTTAAGTGCTTCAGAAGGTTAACAACAGAAAGATTGGTGGAAAGAGAAGCATCAACCTTCATAATGATCCAGTTTACTCCCCAGGTTTCAGTCTAATAACTTTGATGCTGTTTGTGTGAACCAACGATGAGGATAATTGATAATGTGTATCCTTCCCAGATCATGGAGGACACCCAGGCCATTGACTGGGACACTGAAGAAGAGGAGGAGACGGAGCAATCCTGTGAATCCTTGGGGTGTAACTTGGAGCCAGTAGGGAGGCTACATATCTTTAGTGGTGCCCATGGACCAGAAAAAGGTCAGGGGGTATTAGATGCTAAAGTATTGGTACAGGTCTTTTATTTTTGGGGGAAGGTATTTGGAGGGTTGCAAGAAGCTTATATATGTTTCAAAGATATGTGAATTTTTTTTTTAATGAATGGAAGAGATGGGGCAATTGAGTTGATTATTCTAGGCTACTGCTCTAGACTCACTGGAAATGACTTTACTTTGGTAAGACAAGATTAAGAGATTGAAATGAAGCTGGTGCACTGTAATTACACATGTAATTCCAGTGCTTTGAGAGGCCAAGGTGGAAGGATCACTTGAGACTAGGAGTTAGAGACCAACCTTGGTAGCATAGCAAGACCCTATCTCTACAAAAAACTTATAAATTAGCCAGGTGTGAGCTGGGCGCGGTGGCTCACGCCTGTAATCCCAGCACTTTGGGAGGCTGGGGCGGGCGGATCACCTGAGGTCAGGAGTTGGAGACCAGCCTGACCAATATGGTGAAACCCCGTCTTTAAAAAAAAAAAAAAAAAAAAAATTAGCCAGGTGTGATGGTTTGCATCTGCAGTCCCACCTACTTGGGAGGCTGAGGCAGGATGATCTCTTGAACCCAGGAGTTCAAGATTACACTGATCTATGATCATGCCACTGTACTCTAGCCTAGGTGACAGAATGAGACACTGTCTTAAAAAAAAAAGATTCAAATAAAATCCAATTGTGTTCTCTGGAGATGGATGGTAGTGATGATTGCACAACAGTGTGAATGCACTTAATGCCACTGAACTGTACACTTAAAATTATTAAGAAGATAAATTTGTGTTCATGTGTATTTTATAACAGTAAAAAAAAAAAAAAATCCAGTGTGCATGGATGGGGTATTGCATATACTCTTTCAGTACCTAGATGTCCTAGGGCCTTTTATTTTTTGAATGCATGTGGAGGTCTTGAGTGAATAGTAGGGTACCTAATAGACACCTTTTCCTAATGACAGGCCAGGACTCTGACCTTGGAACTTATCTACTTCTCTAATTCTTAGATTTCCCACTACACCTTGGGAAGAATGTGATAGGCCGAATGCCTGGCTGCTCTGTGGCCCTGCCCTTTCCATCTATCTCCAAACAACATGCAGAGATTGAAATCTCAGCCTGGAACAAGGCACCTATCCTCCGAGACTGTGGGAGCCTTAATGGTACTCAAATCCTGAGGCCTCCTAAGGTTTTGAGCCCTGGGGTGAGTCACCGTCTGAGGGACCAGGAATTGATTCTCTTTGCTGACTTGCCCTGCCAGTACCATCGCCTGGATGTCCCCCTGCCCTTTGCCTCCCGGGGCCCTCTGACTGTAGAAGAGACACCCAGGGTACAGGGAGGAACTCAACCCCAGAGGCTTCTGTTGGCTGAGGACTCAGAGGAGGAAGTAGGTAAGTTTTGTGTATTGGCAGGGTGAATGAGGAGGCAGGGATAATGGGTGTACAGTTGTCAACTTGCTCCTTTCTGTTCTTAACAGATTCTCTTTCTGAAAGGTGTGTGATAAAAAAATCAAGGACCACATCTTCCTCCGTGGGAATGATAGTTCCAGACAGGTGAGTGCCAAAGAGTCAGATACCTGAGTCTTCAAAACGAGGAACAACCAGGGGCTGGAGGATCAGTCTCTAAGAGAGACTGTTATCATGGAGTTGGGGGCTGGGAAACCATATGTATTCATTCACTCAGCTGAATTTTTTTTTTTTTTTGTATTTTTAGTAGAGACGGGGTTTNAGCTAATTTTTGTATTTTTAGTAGAGACGGGGTTTCACCATGTTGACCAGGATGGTCTCGATCTCTTGACCTCATGATCCACCCACCTCGGCCTCCCAAAGTGCTGGGATTATAGGCGTAAGCCACCGTGCCTGGCCCCACTCAGCTGAATTTTTATGGAGCACCTCTGATGTACCAAGTGGAAAACAAATTGCCGGAAATACAAAAAGAAATACTACCTTATGTCTGCCCTCAAGGAGCTTACAGTTGAGTTGGGGTATCCCTTCCAGAGAAATAAAATCAATAGACTCTCTTTTCTTCCCTTCACAGTGATGAAGAGGGGAATTCCCCTGTCCTGGGTGGCCCTGGGCTGCCTTTTGCCTTCAATTTGAACAATTACACAGATGCAGAAGATCAGCAACCAGCCATGGAGGAGGCCTCCTCAGCTGCCAGAAGAGGTGCTGCTGTAGAGCCAGAACAGTCTGAAGCTGAAGTCACAACTGAAATCCAGCTTGAAAAGAAGCAGCGTTCAGTGAAGGAGAGGGACAATGGCACAGAAGTCAAGAGGGGTGCAGGAAATGGGGTTGTTCCAGTTGGGGTGATGCTGGAGAGGAGCCAACCTTCTGCAGAGGACAGTGACACAGATGTGGATGATGACAGCAGGCCAGCTGAGGTACATTTAGAAAGGGTTCGGCCTCTTGGCTTCATCGACAGTGACACTGATGTAGAAGAAGAGGGGATCCCAGCAACCCCAGCTGTAGTTCCTATGAAGAAGAGGAAGACCTTCCATGGAGTTGGTATAAGGGGTCCTGGAGCACCAGGGCGGGCCCATCTGCAGGAGAGTCAGGCTGGTAGTGATGCAGATATGGAGGAGGGCAAGGCCCCACAGGCTGTCCCTCTGGAAAAAAGCCAAGCTTCCATGGTGATCAATAGTGATACAGATGACGAGGAAGAAGTCTCAGCAGCGCTGACTTTAGCACGTCTGAAAGAGAGTCAGCCTGCTCTATGGAACAGAGATGCAGAAGAGGACATGGCCCAACCTTTGGTCCTTCTGCAGCGAGGCCAAACCACCACTGGGAGAGACAGTGACACAGATGTGGAGGAGGAAGAGCTCCCAGTGGAAAATAGAGAAGCTGTCCCCAAGGCTCACACAAAGATTAGAGCCCTTGTTAGAGCACATTCAGAAAAAAAACAGCCTTCTTTTAGGGACAGTGATAAGAGTGTGGAAGCAGATAAGAGTTCACCTGGGATCCACCTGGAGAGAAGCCAAGCCTCCACCACAGTGGACATCAACACACAAGTGGAGGAGTCAGCCATGGTGTCTATGCAGGGAACAAATCAAACAGATGTGGAAGCAGGTGGGGGACCAGAAAAGCTGCTTGTGGTATCTCTAGAGGAAGCCTGGCCTCCTCCACTTGGGGACTGTGAAACAGATGCAGAGGAGGGCACCTCCTTGGCAGCCTCAGCAGTTGCAGATGTAAGAAAGAGCCAGCTTCCAGAAGGGGATGCTAGGGCAGAGTGGGCTACAGCTGTTCTTAAGCAGGAGAGAGTTCTTGAGGTGGGGGCCCAAGGTGAATCAGCTGTGGCACAAATGGAGCAAGACCTCACTATCTCAAGAAAGAACCTCACAGATCTGGTGGTGGATACAGGTGCTCCAGGGGAATCCACCCAGCAACAGGGAAAGGGAGCCCAGGTCCCCACAGGAAGGGAGAGAGAACCACATGTGGGTGGAACCAAGGACTCTGAAGACAACTGTGATGGTGAGTGCTGCCCTTTCTTCCTTCCTTGACCTCTGAAATAAACCAGGGTTCTAAGAGCTGGGGTTGGGGAGAGAATGGTAGAGATTAATTAAGGAGTTTAGTGTCAGGTATGATTTTTTTTTAAATTATCTATCTTATATTCCTCCCTACCAGATTCTGAAGATCTGGACCTACAAGCTACCCAATGCTTTCTGGAGAGAGAGAATCAGAGCCTAGAAGGTGAGAACTTTGATGTTATTTGTTTGAATCCTAGTACCAGTAGGAGCTGGGAGATTAGACTGATGGTCCTTGAAAGCTGAAGGCTCGGCCGGGCACGGTGACTCACGCCTGTAATCCCAACACTTTGGGAGGATGCAGCGAGTGGATCACGAGGTCAAGAGATTGAGACCATCCTGACAAACATGGTGAAACCCCATCTCTATTTAAAAAAAAAAAGAAAGAGAAAAAGAAAAAAAGGTGAAGGCTAGTGTGGGTAGGGTAGGAGACCAGGAATGGGACCCTGCAGTACTATGGAGGAGATGTCCTTAGGCCATCTTTTCTTTTACAGCAGTCCAGAGTATGGAGGATGAACCTACCCAGACCTTCATGTTGACGCCACCCCAAGACCCTGGCCCTTCCCATTGCAGCTTCCAGACACCAGGTACAATAAACTCTTCCCTCCTCTGTGCCCCCAATTTTACATTCTTTCTTCCCCCCCCCCAACTTGTATTGCCCAGGCTGGAGTGCAATAGAACAATCTTGGCTCACTGAAACCTCTGCCTCTTAGGTTCAAGGGCTTCTCTTCCCTCAGCTTCCTGAGTAACTGGGATTATAGGTGTGTACCACCATGCCCAGGTAATTTTTGTATTTTTAGTAGAGATGGGGTTTCACTATGTTGGCTAAGCTGGTCTCGAACTCCTGACCTCAAGTGATCTGCCTGCCTCGGCCTCCCAAAGTGCTGGGATTACAGGCGTGAACCACCGTACCGGCCTGCATTCTTTCTTGATTTGCCTTCCTACACGTTTCTTTCATACTCTTGGATTACAATCAGCTATCTGTATATGCGAGTTCACATCTGTGAGTTCAACCAACTGCAGATCGAAAATATTTAGAGACTAGCCTAGGCAACAGAGAGAGACCTGATTTCCACAAAAATGAAAAAATTAGCCCAGCATAGTAGTGAGCACCTTAGTCCCAGCTGTGTGGGAGGCCAGGGTGGGAGGATCATTTGAGCCCAGCCTGGGTTTCCCTCAACCCCCACCCCCAATATCTCTTAAAAACACACACACAAACACTGTTGCAGCACTATTCACAATAGGTAAGATATGAAATCAGACCTAAATGTCCATCAACAGATGAACAGATAAAGAAAATGTACGCCAGGCATCGTGGCTCATGCCTATAATCCCAGCACTTTGAGAGACCAAGGTGGGTGGATCACCTGAGGTCAGGAGTTCGAGACCAGCCTGGCCAACATAGTGAAACTGCGTCTCTACCGAAAATACAAAAATTAGTTGGGTGTGATGGCAGGTGCCTGTAGTCCCAGCTACTCAGAAAGCTAAGGCAGGAAAATCATTTGAACCCCGGAGTCAGAGGTTACAGTGAGCCAAGATCGTGCCATTGCACTCCAGTATGGGCAACAGCGTGAGACTTCATCTCAAAACAAAAAGAAAATGTATGTATAGGCTGGGTGCAATGGCTCAAAATACAAAAATTAGCTGGGCATGGTGGTGTGCACCTGCCTTGTGCACCTGAGATAGGAGGCTCCAGGAATCCTACCTCAGCTCCCAAGTAGCTGGGACTACTCAGAAGGCTGAGGTAGCCGGATTCCTGGAGCCCAGAGGCAGAGGTTCCAGTGAGCTGAGATCACACCACTGCACTCCAACCTGGGCGACAGAGTAAGACTCAATGTCAAAAAAAAGAAAATGTGTATACATACACAATGGAACAGTGTTCAGCCACAAAAGAGAATGAAATCCTGTCATCTGCAGCAACGTGGATGAGCCCTGAGGACATTATGTTAAGTGAAATAAGTCAGCACAGAAAGGCAAATATTGCATGCTCATTCATATGTGGGAGCTAAAAACATGGATCTCATGGAAGTAGAGTAGAATGGTGGTTACTAAAGGCTGAGAACAGTAGAGGGATAGGACACATAAAAAGGATGGTTAATGGATACAAAAATACAGTCAAGGCCAGGCACAGTGGCTCACACCTGTAGTCCCAGCACTTTGGAAGGCTGAAGCAGGTGGATCATGAGGTCAGGAGTTCAAGACCAGCCTGGTCAACATGGTGAAACCCCATCTCTACTAAAATACAGAAATTAGCCACCTGTAATCCCAGCTACTTAGGAGGCTGAGGCAGGAGAATTGCTCAAACCCAGGACGTGGAGGTTGCAGTGAGCCAAGACCATGTCACTACACTCCAGTCTAGACAACAGAGCAAGACTCTGTCTCAAAAAAAAAAAAGTTCTAGTTCCACAGTAGGGTTACTATAGTTAATAATTTATTGTATATTTCAAAATAGCTGGAAGAGATTTGGTATGTTTCCAATACAAAGAAATGATAAATGTTTGAGATAGTGGATATCCCAGTTGTCTTGGTTTTATCATTGTACGTTGTATGCACAGGTCAAAATAGCACAGGTACCCCATAAAAATGTACAATTATAGGGCTGGACACAGTGGCTCACACCTTTAATCTCAGGGGGGCCTGAGGCAGGTGGATCACAAGTTCAGGAGTTCCAGACCAGCCTGGCCAACATGGTGAAACCCCATCTCCACTAAAAATACAAAAAATTAGCCAGGCATAGTGGCAGCTAATTACAGGAAGTACTACTTCCTGTAATTCCAGCTACTCAGGAGGCTGAGGCAAGAGAATTGCTTGAACCTGGGAGGCAGAGGTTGCAGTGAGCTAAGATCACACCACTGCACTCCAGCCTGGGTGACAGTGTGAGACTCTTGTCTCAAAAAAAAAAAAAAAAAAAAAAAAGATTATTATGTATCAATGAAAAGAAAATGTGGTATATATACACAGTGGAATACTATTCAACCTTTAAAAAGAAGGGAATTCTGGCTCAGCACGGTGGTTCACGCCTGTAATCCCAGCACTTTGGAAGTCTGAGGCAGGCAGATCAGGAGGCCAAGAGATTGAGACCATCCTGGCCAACATGGTGAAACCCTGTCTCTACTAAAAGTACAAAAAATTAGCGGGGCGTGGTGATGCGTGCCTGTTGCCCCAGCTACTCAGGAGGCTGAGGCAGGAGAACTGCTTGAAGCTGGAAAACGGAAGTTGCAGTGAGCTGGGATCGCGCCACTGCACTCCAGCCTGGTGATAGAGCGAGACTCTGTCTCAAAAAAAATAAAAAATACAAAAAATTAGCCGGGCACAGTGGCACATGCTATAGTCCCAGCTACTGTGAAGGCTAAGGCAGGAGGATCTCCTGAGCTGAGCAGTTGGAAGTTGCAGTGAGCCAACATCATGCCACTGCACTCCAGCCTGGGTGACGGAGTGAGACTCTGTCTCAAAAAAAAGAGAGAAAGAGATTACTCAGGGAACTCTCATATTAGGCTACGATGTTTCTCTTTTTTCTTTTTTTTTTTTTTGAGACGGAGTTTCACT